CCAGATATCCGGTTTAGGACTATCCGGATCAATGGGATACCAACTAATGAGTTTAACATCCGTAACCAACTTGTAAGATGATCAATGGTTTCAATTACTATTTCCTTACTTCGTTCTGTTATTTGTATTTACATCGTAAAATGTTGTAATTTGCAGTGACATAAGCAACAATAATCTCGGAAACCAGATACCTTACCAGCTTCCTCCAAATGTAAAGAGACTGTATGTGTTTTTATGCCTAATTTCTTCTTTCTTTGCTCAATTCCAGGCTCTAGTGTTTTTTACAAAGTTGCTTACAAAATCTTTCTGTCATTTGCCTCGTATTGCAGTAACCTTGCTGGTAATGGTTTTACCGGTGTCCTACCTTATTCCGTTTCACAAATAACTTCCCTTCAATACTTGTAAGTGAATTTTTAAAATTAAATTTACATGTATAGTATTATTACACTCGTTGTTCTGATTTTCTCTCCGTTGTATGTGCCTGATTGTAGAAATGTCAGTCATAATCAAATTCAAGGAGAACTAAATGACATGTTTGGATCACTTTCTTCTCTCAACACATTGTAAGGCCTTGTCTCGATTTCTTCCTTTTCTTATACAGATTGATATTACCCTGTGATGATTGAGATTTTCAATGTATCTTGTGCTATTCTCGATAGATAAATATAGTATCTCTTCTGTTTATCATGTGAACTGTTCTCACGGAGTGAAAGTATCTTTTCTTCTTCTTGGTTGATTATATTATGTTATATCCCGTGTTTCTTACTTTGATTGTTTACATTTATGCTTCAGAGATATCTCTTTCAATTCAATGACCGGTAAACTTCCTCAAAGCTTTAAGTCACTGACTAGCATGAAGAAAATGTAAGACGCGTATCTTCTGATTCATTATTGTACTGTATTGGTCCAGTGTCATTGAACTTTCTAGTATTGTTATGTTGTGCAGCTACCTGCAGAACAACCAGTTCACTGGAAATATTGATGTCCTCGCCAATCTTCCTCTTGACGATCTGTGAGTTATGCAACATCTTTGTGTGTGTGTGAATGTTATCGATCTCTGAATGTTCCATTTCAAGGCTTTCGCAGTTACTATATTGTTGATTCCTTTATGCTTTAGGAATATTGAAAACAATCAGTTTACTGGTGGGATTCCAGAGAAGTTTAAAGGGATAATGCAGTGAGTGTTTCAGTCTGCAAATTATTTTTCATCCTTGAATATTTGTAGAAAATAACTTTCTAACTGAATTCGCGATTTGTGATACAATTGTAGAAACTCTAACAGTAACACAGGGAGCTCAGGGCCTGCAGCCCCTGCGAACAAGTCCACTCAAAGTCACAAATCAGGAGGCAATGGCAATTCTTCAAGCGGTGGAGGTAAAAGTGATAGTGGTGAGAAATCTGGTATCGGTGGTGGAGGCGTTGCAGGCATAGTTATATCAGTTTCAGTGGTTGGAGCAGTTGCAGTAATCTGTATTATCAAGAAAAGACGCAGGAAGTCGTCAACAGACATAGAAAAACTTGACGTTCAGCCATTTGTTCCTGAGTCACATGAAGTACAAGGTATATAATTTTATGACTTCTTTTTTGGGTCAATTGAGAACATAGCTGGTTAGTTTGACTGATACTTCAATATCTCAACATTTATACACTCTTATGGTGGATAGGATCCTTTTCTTGCCATGTTATCTAATTTGAATATAGAGTTGAATTTATTGTGGTACACAAAGGGGAGCCCTGGCGTAACTAGTAAAGTTACTTCCATGTGACTAGGTTCGAGCTGTGGAAACATCCTCTTGCAGAAATGCAGGGTAAGGTTGCATACAATAGACCATTATGGTCCGACCCTTCCTCGTATCCCACATATAGCGGGAGCTGCACCAGGCTGTCCTATTGCAAATGTAGTTGTCTTTATATAAACACACTTTTAACTCTGGATGCAAGTTCCAGCAAAGATACTGAATCACCTTAGGTGAATTTTGGAAAATTAGTTTTCCTTTTGAACTCGTCGTCCTTCATTTCATGTTCAAGTGAGCATGTCTATAATGATGAATTATCTTTCCCTTTTGCAGCTTCATTTGTAACCTGGTATTTCATACATCTTAAGCCTTACCTCAATTGTTTTAAGTTCTGTAGCATCATTCCATCAGAGTTCCAGCTAATATTTTCCCTTTTCTGGTTACTAGTATTATTGATTTTTAATCATGTGTTAGTTTTGGAACCTATATTTTTCTATTCATCACCTATTTTGGCTGCAGATACGAAACTCAGTCAAGCTCCGTCCACAATAAGCATGGAAGCTACTGAAACTCCCACTATAGTATCTCTAAGACCTCCACCTATTTATACTCATAAATCCATTGGTGGAGATGACATTTCAGAAAAACTCATTGTTCCACAGAAGAAAACTCGTACAGCTGAAAGAAAAGTTGTGCAATTTTCAATTGAAGACGTACAGATAGCTACTGACAGCTTCAGTGTAGAAAACCTTATTGGTGACGGATCTATTGGAAGTGTATATCGAGCTCACTTTGACAATGGCAAAGTAATATCTATTAGTTCTGTTTGTCGTTTAACTGTTTCTTGTTGCAGCTAACATTACCTATGCTGATGTAAGTGATTCTGATCGTTTAAGTTCCTATTCCATAGGTTCTCGCTGTCAAGAAACTTTATTCATCTGAGCTCCGGAATCCTGAAGATTTTCTAAAGATGATTCCTGAAATATCCCAGCTGGATCATCCAAATGTAACAGACCTAATTGGTTATTGCTCAGAAGATGAGCAGCACCTGCTAGTTTATGAATTCCACAGAAATGGTTCTCTGCATGATTTCCTGCATCGGATGGATGAAGACAACTCGCCACTAGCGTGGGATAGCAGAGTTCAGATTGCACTTGGCACAGCAAGAGCACTAGAGTGAGTTTCATAATTTACAAAATTACTTTCATTAGGCATCACATAAGATTAATGCAGCTTGGAGAAAACTTTTGTTTGCTTGGTTTCAGATATTTTTTTATGGTAAACTACCCTATCTATCATAAATCTTCTAGTTTTCCTTAAAACATTGATGATAGTAAGCATGTAGAAGTGTTTCAATAATATTTCGAATAGAAAAGCAATTATATTGTTTTAAGTTGTAGAACACCGCGTATGCTGGCTTTCCACTAGATCTAATCAGAATAAATTTTCTATTTTGGCCGCGACCTCTCCAATTCTTATGAGTAGGTTTATTCTAGTAGCTAAATCTAAGCTTCCTTTAATTTGCAGGTATCTACATGAAGCTTGTTCTCCATCTTTAGTTCATAAAAATATAAAATCTGAAAATATTTTACTTGATGCTGATCTCAATCCCCATCTATCAGACAGTGGGTTAGCAAACCTTATGGCTGATGCAGATCAGGTAACACTTTATAAATTTGTTGTTTTGCCTTACTCTAAAGTATAATTTCCTAAAACTCCACATCAGTATCTTCTTAATGGCTTCAACTTGGACCCCTTATTTTTGCTCCGTGTAGGGATTGAACCATAATATAGAGTCTGGATATGGCGCACCGGAGGCTGCTATATCTGGGAAGTGTACCACCAAGAGTGATGTATACAGCTTTGGAGTTGTTATGTTGGAACTTTGTACTGGTCGAAAACCTTTCGATAGGTAAATGTTAATTTAATGATATTGAACCCAAAATCTGTTTAAGACAAATAATAATATACGTGTGTTCTTCTCTTCTCCACTCAGCTCAAGATCAAGATCTGAACAGTCTTTAGTTAGATGGGCAACCCCTCAGCTTCATGATATTGATGCCCTGGAAAAGATGGTTGATCCAGCTCTCTCTGGATTATATTCTGTCAAATCTCTTTCCCGGTTTGCTGATGTTATTGCTCTCTGTGTTCAGGTAATACTCTCGTTGTTTCAATTCATGTGACTAGACACAAAGTTTAAGATAGAAATGCAAACATTTGAAACGTGTGGTCTTAAACATGACATAACATCTCATTAGAGTAATATGAGAAGTAGTTCGTTCATTTTGTACTGAAAGCTGCTACATGCCATGTGTTCAATTTTCAATAGAGTACTCCCCTAAATCGCGCTCACTATCACAATGGTTTGTGTATGTTGTGTCAGCTTGAGCCTGAGTTTCGGCCACCTATGTCTGAAGTGGTTCAAGCATTAGTCCGGCTAGTGCAACGAGCAAATATGAGCAAGAGGTTACACAATAATGATCAGGACTGAAGAGATTTGCTCAAGACCTGCTAATTGTTACACCAAATGGTTCTCTTAAACTGTTTGCTGCTATGGGAGATCATCTGATGCTGATCAGCCCAGCAATATCTTCTTCGGTGCAGTTGTATTTGATTAAATACCATATGCTAAAATATTTCTCCTACATAAGCTCCTCCACTGTTGTAGCTGATTCCCCATTTGTTATGTTGAGCTAATGCCTGTGAGCTCAGTAGGTTCAGGTCACTCTAGGGTATTGAGGCTCTCCTGTTAAGCACGGATAAGTTGCCTTGGTCAATTGTGCCTCTCGTTATAAATAAAATTTAAATAGATTTTTTTTTGATGAATGAGAAATCTGTTCGGGGTCAACCCTTTAAGACCAATTGTTACCTTGGAAGCTTGGTGATAATGACCTGCCCTTGTACCCTTCTCCAATGAAAATACCAGGCTTAATTGGTACAGCACAGGGCTCAAACCTCTTGCCTAAGTCACAAGTTCCTCCACCTTTGCTACTTGAACTAAGCTACGAGGGCAAAAAAATAGTAGAAATATGCATATTTATCTTTTTTGTTTTTTGAGACATTATTCAGTTGCAAGATTGAGTCAGTGAGGTGCACATGTGTTACTCTAGGCCTAAGTCACACATCCCTCCTCCTTGCTAGCCTTTTGGTACAATGATCCTTCTACATGATGTAGATGAAATGCAAGATATTTGGGAATTGCCGAACTTGTAATTATATTTTGTAGTGCTGGCTCAGTGAAAGTTCACGATTTATAAATTATTCTCACAAAATATAATGATTTTTGCAGGGTCTGGGACCTTATTCGACCGGCATAAAGAAAGCCGAAAAGGAAATCAAGGAAATGGCCAAAAAGATAAATGATTTACGCGGTATGTTTGTTATGTCTCTTGTTGATTTTGTATTTGATTATGTGAAGGGACTTCTTTTTGTTCTTTTCAAACCTTGTGTTTCTTTGTTGCACATTCTTGTGAACTACATCGTAAATAATTTACCATAGGTATTAAGGAGTCTGACACTGGGTTAGCTGCACCAAGTCAATGGGATCTGGTTTCTGATAAACAGATGATGCAGGCGGAGCAACCTCTTCAGGTGTGTTTCATTGAAATACAGATCTGTTGCTCTTTTATTACTCAGGTACATTGAAGTATTAATTGAATTCTTTTGGAGCAGGTTGCCAGCTGTACAAAGGTAATTAGCCCCAACACTGAAGATGCAAAATACGTGATAAACGTCAAGCAAATTGCAAAGGTATGCATCATGTCTTTCCAACATAGTATTTTGTTCTGTTCTATCTTCTAGTAACACCTCTATTGGTGAATGTACGGGTATCTGGAAGGAGGGTGCCTGGGAAGCCAGGTTTACTGTTAAAACTGGAGAATCACAATCTATATTTTGTGCAAAAGTACAACAGCAAAGACACACATTATTACTCGCATTCCAAATTTTCTTGTTACATTTTGGATCAACTTACCTTGTTTCAACTTTTATGTCATGGGCTTTTCTTGTTCCCTGATAGAACTTGAATATGTAAAAATTTTCCACAAAAAAAAACCTTCCAAGTGTTCTTGGGCAGTCCATTAATGTAATCTTGAACTGTTCTGTTGAAATGAATATTGGGGTTTACATACATAATGTGGTGTCCTTGAGCCAAGGGTCTATCCCGAATAGTACCCCTAACTCTGAGGTAGGGGTAAGGTTTGTTTACACTCTACCCTCCCCAAACCCCACTTTGTCAGACTACACTGGGTATGCTGTTGTTGCCTTGTTGGTGTTGTACATACATACTGTGGTCGGTGGACTTAGATAACTTGGTTTGGTACCCACAATGTTGGATGGGTTTATATTAATAGGATTTTTTTTTCCGCAACTTATATCAATAGGAATTTTAAGGTGAGTATTTACAGAATGAGATCTCCTTGAGCTTGTCCATTGACCAGTTAAAAGCCAAGGTTAAGGTTGCTGGACCTAGAGGAGAATTTTGGAAGAGGTTGATATTTTAATTGAGTTTGATGCATTTAAAGAGTGAATTTGGCAATAAGTTGGCTGTTTTTCCGACTTTATGGCATTTATGGAGGTCTAGAGAAGGTTTACTTTCATGTAAAGAGAAGTGATGAGTTCACTTGTATATATTTTTGGACAAATATAATTTCACCTATATGCATCACTTAAATTTTCAAAATATTGTAGTAATGAGATGTACAAATACGACAAGTAGGGGCTCACTTTTGCCTTTTCATTGATTTGGTTTATTCCAGGAGCTGTTATAAGAAGTGTGTGCACGGAGGCTGGAATGTATGCTATTCGAGCAAGGAAGAAAACTGTTACAGAGAAAGACTTTTTGGATGCCGTCAACAAGGTCATTAAGGGATATCAGAAATTCCATGCAACACCGAAGTATATGGTCTACAATTAGTTGGACTACATTTTCTTTGGTACAAACAATCAAGCATTGGCAGGAATGAAGTGACATTGCTATTTGCCATTTAGTTATCCCGTGTACTCAATTTGATGATTTATGCTGTCCACTAAGATTTTATTACCTATTTATTCATCTTTGGTGTGCTCCTGTTTGTTGCCAACAAAGATACAGGACCAACTTCTGCGTTGTAATGCCTGATGACTTGGTGTTTTGAGTTAAAATCTAAGAGCTGTAATGATAGCTAGCTTTCCCTCGTTACTTAAATTTTAATTCAATTCCATTCCTGTGATGTCGGCTTCTGCTGTCAGCGCTTGTGTTTGTCAAGGTAGGTGTCTGATTGGCAAAGTAGGGCTGTTATTGTCGTACTAACACCAAGCGATAGCTGTGTCCTAATCTGCCTTAATTCTTTTTATCTTGTATTTGCCTTCATCAATATTGCAAGCAACACTATTTTCCCAGCTGTTCACTCAATTAGACGCTTGAAGTTTCATATGCATTCTTAGTGGTGTCGTAATTGCTTAGTATGAATGAACCTTTGCTGGAAGGTAGATGCAAAACTGGTAGTTTTCGAAGTAGTATAAATAACATGCAGTTAAGAGCCTCTTTTTCAAGAGTCATTCTATGTTTATCTGTCAGATGTCAATTTAATCTGTCGGTGCTAACAATATCTTGGAACAGAGTACAAATGCTGGTAACCATTCATGTATGTGTTAATAAGGATCTGTGCAAGTATAGATAATTTATGTATGTAGGTAGGGTGATCAGTGAGAAGCAGATTAGGTGTATATATATATATATATATATATATATATATATATATATATATATATATATATATATATATATATATATATATATATATATATATATATATATATATATATATATATATATATATATATATATATATATATATATATATATATATATATATATATATATATATATATATATATATATATATATATATATATATATATATATATATATATATATATATATATATATATATATATATATATATATATATATATATATATATATATATATATATATATATATATATATATATATATATATATATATATATATATATATATATATATATATATATATATATATATATATATATATATATATATATATATATATATATATATATATATATATATATATATATATATATATATATATATATATATATATATACACCTAATCTGCTTCTCACTGATCACCCTACCTACATACATAAATTATCTATACTTGCACAGATCCTTATTAACACATACATGAATGGTTACCAGCATTTGTACTCTGTTCCAAGATATTGTTAGCACCGACAGATTAAATTGACATCTGACAGATAAACATAGAATGACTCTTGAAAAAGAGGCTCTTAACTGCATGTTATTTATACTACTTCGAAAACTACCAGTTTTGCATCTACCTTCCAGCAAAGGTTCATTCATACTAAGCAATTACGACACCACTAAGAATGCATATGAAACTTCAAGCGTCTAATTGAGTGAACAGCTGGGAAAATAGTGTTGCTTGCAATATTGATGAAGGCAAATACAAGATAAAAAGAATTAAGGCAGATTAGGACACAGCTATCGCTTGGTGTTAGTACGACAATAACAGCCCTACTTTGCCAATCAGACACCTACCTTGACAAACACAAGCGCTGACAGCAGAAGCCGACATCACAGGAATGGAATTGAATTAAAATTTAAGTAACGAGGGAAAGCTAGCTATCATTACAGCTCTTAGATTTTAACTCAAAACACCAAGTCATCAGGCATTACAACGCAGAAGTTGGTCCTGTATCTTTGTTGGCAACAAACAGGAGCACACCAAAGATGAATAAATAGGTAATAAAATCTTAGTGGACAGCATAAATCATCAAATTGAGTACACGGGATAACTAAATGGCAAATAGCAATGTCACTTCATTCCTGCCAATGCTTGATTGTTTGTACCAAAGAAAATGTAGTCCAACTAATTGTAGACCATATACTTCGGTGTTGCATGGAATTTCTGATATCCCTTAATGACCTTGTTGACGGCATCCAAAAAGTCTTTCTCTGTAACAGTTTTCTTCCTTGCTCGAATAGCATACATTCCAGCCTCCGTGCACACACTTCTTATAACAGCTCCTGGAATAAACCAAATCAATGAAAAGGCAAAAGTGAGCCCCTACTTGTCGTATTTGTACATCTCATTACTACAATATTTTGAAAATTTAAGTGATGCATATAGGTGAAATTATATTTGTCCAAAAATATATACAAGTGAACTCATCACTTCTCTTTACATGAAAGTAAACCTTCTCTAGACCTCCATAAATGCCATAAAGTCGGAAAAACAGCCAACTTATTGCCAAATTCACTCTTTAAATGCATCAAACTCAATTAAAATATCAACCTCTTCCAAAATTCTCCTCTAGGTCCAGCAACCTTAACCTTGGCTTTTAACTGGTCAATGGACAAGCTCAAGGAGATCTCATTCTGTAAATACTCACCTTAAAATTCCTATTGATATAAGTTGCGGAAAAAAAAATCCTATTAATATAAACCCATCCAACATTGTGGGTACCAAACCAAGTTATCTAAGTCCACCGACCACAGTATGTATGTACAACACCAACAAGGCAACAACAGCATACCCAGTGTAGTCTGACAAAGTGGGGTTTGGGGAGGGTAGAGTGTAAACAAACCTTACCCCTACCTCAGAGTTAGGGGTACTATTCGGGATAGACCCTTGGCTCAAGGACACCACATTATGTATGTAAACCCCAATATTCATTTCAACAGAACAGTTCAAGATTACATTAATGGACTGCCCAAGAACACTTGGAAGGTTTTTTTTTGTGGAAAATTTTTACATATTCAAGTTCTATCAGGGAACAAGAAAAGCCCATGACATAAAAGTTGAAACAAGGTAAGTTGATCCAAAATGTAACAAGAAAATTTGGAATGCGAGTAATAATGTGTGTCTTTGCTGTTGTACTTTTGCACAAAATATAGATTGTGATTCTCCAGTTTTAACAGTAAACCTGGCTTCCCAGGCACCCTCCTTCCAGATACCCGTACATTCACCAATAGAGGTGTTACTAGAAGATAGAACAGAACAAAATACTATGTTGGAAAGACATGATGCATACCTTTGCAATTTGCTTGACGTTTATCACGTATTTTGCATCTTCAGTGTTGGGGCTAATTACCTTTGTACAGCTGGCAACCTGCTCCAAAAGAATTCAATTAATACTTCAATGTACCTGAGTAATAAAAGAGCAACAGATCTGTATTTCAATGAAACACACCTGAAGAGGTTGCTCCGCCTGCATCATCTGTTTATCAGAAACCAGATCCCATTGACTTGGTGCAGCTAACCCAGTGTCAGACCCCTTAATACCTATGGTAAATTATTTACGATGTAGTTCACAAGAATGTGCAACAAAGAAACACAAGGTTTGAAAAGAACAAAAAGAAGTCCCTTCACATAATCAAATACAAAATCAACAAGAGACATAACAAACATACCGCGTAAATCATTTATCTTTTTGGCCATTTCCTTGATTTCCTTTTCGGCTTTCTTTATGCCGGTCGAATAAGGTCCCAGACCCTGCAAAAATCATTATATTTTGTGAGAATAATTTATAAATCGTGAACTTTCACTGAGCCAGCACTACAAAATATAATTACAAGTTCGGCAATTCCCAAATATCTTGCATTTCATCTACATCATGTAGAAGGATCATTGTACCAAAAGGCTAGCAAGGAGGAGGGATGTGTGACTTAGGCCTAGAGTAACACATGTGCACCTCACTGACTCAATCTTGCAACTGAATAATGTCTCAAAAAACAAAAAAGATAAATATGCATATTTCTACTATTTTTTTGCCCTCGTAGCTTAGTTCAAGTAGCAAAGGTGGAGGAACTTGTGACTTAGGTAAGAGGTTTGACTCCTGTGCTGTACCAATTAAGCCTGGTATTTTCATTGGAGAAGGGTACAAGGGCAGGTCATTATCACCAAGCTTCCAAGGTAACAATTGGTCTTAAAGGGTTGACCCCGAACAGATTTCTCATTCATCAAAAAAAAATTATTTAAATTTTATTTATAATGAGAGGCACAATTGACCAAGGCAACTTATCCATGCTTAACAGGAGAGCCTCAATACCCTAGAGTGACCTGAACCTACTGAGCTCACAGGCATTAGCTCAACATAACAAATGGGGAATCAGCTACAACAGTGGAGGAGCTTATGTAGGAGAACAAGTGCTCCCACTAGAAGTACAAAACCAGAAAGTAACATATAAGGAACAAGAAGATCACATGGACCACACATGCCCCCGCTGCAGTTCACCAAATTTGACAAGAATGGTTCAGATATAAGTGTAACTCATACTTGCAGACATATAATCTCTCTGATATGTTTCTACCTCTAAAAACATGGCATGTAGTTAGGTGGAGAAAATATGTATTGGTTTTTTCATTTATAAAAGTGAATTGAGATCTTGAATTTAACTTTTTTAAAATCAATTCTTAGCCACAAAATACATATTAGAAAGCACAAAAACAAAAGCAAAAAGAGCAATGCAACATAAGTAATATTACAGATCCTCTCAGACCATAAAAAGTTATATTTTATGCTATGAGCAACTCTGGTCGCAAGTGTCATAAGTGATTCAACAGTTCCATGGCTGCATATTCAGTCAATAGCATGTGACTACTCAAAGGCTTGTTAGAAAGGCGGCAAGGGATGAACAAAACCCCCTATGTTGACACTCCAAACATAACTTTAGAGGCCGTTACTAGATAGACCAGAGCTACACCCAGGGGGGGAATTATTTCCCACTAAGGAACGCACCTAGATTTCTCCCATTGAATCCGTCTTAGTTCCGATAATTGAATTATCCATAGATATATGCTCCCTGAACCAATTCACTTGAGTGAGACATAAGAGAGTGGAATTCCCTGATAAGCTGTATTAAAGTAAGTTCAAGCTAAGCTCTTGTTTCTAAAGACGAGAAGGAGGACATGTTCAATGTCTTCAAAAAAATGGCGTTAGGGGGAGGGGATTACAAGGTGGGTAGTGGAACCCTCACCAACAAGGTGAAGGTAGTCAGATAGTCAGCCAATTGAACTACTATTTCCCCCGAACATTGATAACCTAAAAAAGGTTTTGAGCATAATGAAAATGAGAGATGTTGCTAGCTGCACGCATCCACACCTACAAAACATCCACCTAAATCCTAATAAACGCAAATCACTACCTTCAAGAGCTCAAACATTCTTCAAATTCGAACCCACTTAGTAACAAAACGAAAGATAATATCAAAAATTACATTTCTGCAACATTCTGTACCATCTCAGTTATCCAACAGTGCGCAATGAAAAATTAACAGTTCAAAATGAATTCAAAAGCAACAGATAGAGCCAATAGGTAAGAACTAGGGTTAAAGATTAGGGGAAGAAATAGTACATAAGTTTTGAGTAGAGCAATATCATCTTCATACAGTGGCGGTGGGTTCTTCTCGTCCTTGATCTCATCTTCGATATCAGCGGCTGCGGGTGCCATAGATTTCAGATGCGTTCGTTCTTCCCACAAATAGCAAAGAGCAAAAAGATCTGTATTTCGAAAAATTTCTTGAGAAAGTATAACAAGAATGAGATCTCTTTCGCTTTTATAAAACCCGGTACATGTGGTTGTTGGGGCAGATATATCCAAATCGACCCGGTCACCTTCTTTTTGGGCCCAATGGAATATAGTAAAAGATTAAAAAGAAGGTAAAAGAGCACAAATAGCCATATTTAGGGTTCCTATTTTGCAAAAAATTTAAAATTTAGCCACCTAAAAGTTAACTTCAGACATGGGATTTGAAGTTGAAATCACAGGTGTGAAGTTTCTAACTTAGACCCAAGGGTTTGAAGTTAGTTTTGATTTTGAATTCGTTGAGTTATTAGATGACTGAAATACAAGAGCATCGAAATTAGTTGAAGTTCAACTTGTAGTGCATCCCTTACTTGTGATTTTAATTATTTTACTAATCCTCCCTCTTTCAAGTTTTTGATTTGAAAATTGGGAACAACACTGGACTAGTTTTGAACCATATGCATTAACTTATTCTTCTGTTCGAAACTATGTACTTCTTCTGCTTCCTTTCCGCGGCTAACAAAACAAGGCATCTTATGAGACAGTTTAAAAGATGCTCAAGCATGCACATCTGAAGTCTGAACTTGAAAACTATCAATTACATCCAACCTTCAGAGTCAAGAGCCTAAACGCTCTAATACAGATTTGGTTTATGTGAAGCCACAGTTTTGAAACTAAGCTTCTTCACAACCACTAAAACAAAATGAAGAGTTATAGCTTTCAAGTTCACTGCACTAAGCTATAATTCTAGGAAGATATTATTGCAGGAAATGTCGTAACTGAATCAAAGAAACCTACAGCTAACATGTATGTTAGTGACGGGATGCAGATTCCTAATTTTTGTCTTGCCGATTCCAAGATATGTAACAACTCACTCACAAGGGAACAAATGTATTGAACCAGGGCAGCTTCTATAGAAAATACAGAAGAAAAACATTTTGTTGAGTATTCCTGAAATAGTTGCAAAGATTAATATGAATCTCTTGGTTCCCCATAGTCTTGTAGGGGTCTGGGAAGCTGCTAAAATTCTCATGACCAGTTCTTTCAAAATTGATATGGAAAAGTCAGCTATAGTGAGTGCTTGTATTTAATAACATCCATTGTGTTCAAGTTAAATCTCTGGCAGATATCAGATATGGTCGGCTCACTTAAACCATCATTAGATTCTCCAAGAGTTATGTATACAGCTTTGGAGTTGTTATGTTGGAACTTTGTACTGGTCGAAAACCTTTCGATAGGTAAATGTTAATTTAATGATTTTGAACCCAAAATCTGTTTAAGACAAATAATAATATACGTGTGTTGTGTGTTCTTCTCTTCTCCACTCAGCTCAAGACCAAGATCTGAACAGTCTTTAGTTAGATGGGCAACCCCTCAGCTTCATGATATTGATGCCCTGGAAAAGATGGTTGATCCAGCTCTCTCTGGATTATATTCTGTCAAATCTCTTTCCCGGTTTGCTGATGTTATTGCTCTCTGTGTTCAGGTAATACTCTCGTTGTTTCAATTCATGTGACTAGACACGAGGTTTAAGATAAAAATGAAGACATTTGAAACATGTGGTCTTAAACATGACATAACATCTCATTAGAGTAAAATGAGAAGTAGTTCGTTCCTTTTGTACTGAAAGCTGTTATATGCCATGTGTTCAATTTTCAATGAAGTACTTCCCTAAATCGCGCTCACTATCACAATGGTTTGTGTATGTTGTGTCAGCTTGAGCCTGAGTTTCGGCCACCTATGTCTGAAGTGGTTCAAGCATTAGTCCGGCTAGTGCAACGAGCAAATATGAGCAAGAGGTTACACAATAATGATCAGATAAACATAGAATGACTCTTGAAAAAGAGGCTCTTAACTGCATGGTATTTATACTAATTCGAAAACTGCCAGTTCTGCATCTAGATTCCGGCAAAGGTTCATTCATACTTGAGCAATTACGACACCACTAAGAATGCATATGACACTTTTAAGAGTCTAATTGAGTGGACACCTTGGAAAATAGCGTTGCTTGCAATATTGATGGAAGGCAAACACAAAATAAAAAGAATTAAGGCAGATTAGGACACAACTATTGCTTGATGTTAGTACGACAATAACAGTTCTACTTTGCCAATCAGATACCTACCTTGACAAACACAAGCGCTGACAGCAGAAGCCGACATCACAGGAATGAAATTGAATTAAAATTAAGTAAAGAGGGAAAGCTAGCTATCATTACAGCTCTTAGATTTAAACTCAAAACACCAAGTCATCAGGCTAACGCAGAAGTTGGTCCTGCATCTTTGTTGGCAACAAACAGAAGCACCAAAGATGAATAAACAGGTAATAAAATCTTAGTGGACAGTAAAAATTATCAAATTGAGTACACGGGTAATAAATGGCAAATAGCAATGTCACTCCATTCCTGCCAACACTTGATTGTTTGGACCAAATAGAAAGTAGTCCAACTAATTGTAGACCATGTACTTTGGTGTTGCACTGAATTTCTGATATCCTTTAATGACCTTGTTGACGGCATCTAAAAAGTCTTTCTCCGTAACAGTTTTCCTCCTTGCTCGAATAGCATACATTCCAGCCTCCGTGCACACACTTCTTATATCAGCTCCTGGAATAAACCAAATCAATGAAAAGGTCAAAAGTGAGCCCCTAACTGTCGTATTTTGAAAATTTAAGTGATGCATCTAAGTGAAATTATATTTGTCCAAAAATAAATACAAGTGAACTTATCACTTCTCTTTACATGAAAGTAAACCTTCTCTAGACCTCCATATTTGCCATCACTTCATCATATTGTTTTAAATGCCATAAAGTCGTAAAAGTAGCTAACTTACTGCCAGATTCACTCTTTAAATGCATCAAACGCAATTAAAATATCAACCTCTTCCAAAATTCACCTCTGGGTCCAGCAACCTTAACTTTGGCTTTTAACTGGTCAATGGACAAGCTCAAGGAGATCTAATTCTGTAAATACTCACCCTAAAATTCCTATTAATATAAAGTTGCGAAAAAAAAATCCTATTGATATAAACCTATCCAACATTGTGGGTAACAAACCAAGTTATCTAAGTCCTCCGACCACAGTATTTATGTACAACACCAACAAGGCAACAACAGAATACCCAGTGTAGTCTTACAAAGTGGGGTTTGGGGAGGGTACACCACATTATGTATGTAAATCCCAATATTCATTTCAACAGAACAGATCAAGTTAACATTAATGGACTGCCAAAGAACACTTGGAGGGTTTTTTTTGTGGAAAATTTTTACATGTTCAAGTTTTATCAAGAAACAAGAAAAGCCCGCTACATGAAACAAAAGTAAGTTGATTCAGAATGTAACAAGAAAAATTGGAATGCGAGTAATAATGGGTGCCTTTGCTGTTGTACTTTTGCACAAAATGCAAGCTCAGGTACCCAAGCAACACTTGATTGAAACTACCAAAGGACTATACTCCATTACTCCTTCCTCTCATTTTTCCTCAGCACGACAATTAAGATGAAAGGTTTCATTTGTACATTGTGCTGTGTTCAATGAGGAAACTAGTAAATAGAATCGAAAAGTTGCCAAATTATGTTTGGTAAATAAAACATCAGGGTGTGAATTTAAATTCTTGGAAGTTGTGAAAGCATGTAGAATTGAATAATTTCTGAAATACATACAAAAGTTTGAGCTATTAGAAAATAAAATTGAGTTCAGATGTGGTAGAACTTCCCCTTCTAGAAAATTATTATACGTTTTGGGCAGACTTAAAAGGGAGGGCATTATAATTAGGAGAAAGAGCTCTTTAAAAGAACATTGTGCACAAAATCAAATATGAAATTGATGTTTAATATGCAACTTCGGAAGCAATATACATGAATCATTCTATTATATGTCAATGTATATGAGATTACCTGTAGAGTTTGGACAGAGACGTGACAAAAGTTCAAATCGAATATCGCGCTCACAATTCATTGTCCGTGTATGAATCTTAAATATCTGGGTCCTACTCTCTAGATCAGGTAGACCAAACTCAACTTTGCGATCCAAACGTCCAGGACGTAGCAATGCTGGATCAAGTGTATCAGGCCTACAAACAAAATAAAATGCATTACAGTAGTTAGCCACCAAATACAATAGCCATGGATAACACCCAGTTTGAAGAACTCAGTTATCATGCTGCAAATAAATCACCCAAAGTTATCCCAGCAAGTACAACCCAAAGAGAGACTACTGGGACAAAAAGCTAAAACAAAGAGAGAACACTAACCTATTGGTGGCCATGAGAACCTTAATATTCCCCCGAGCATCAAATCCATCTAGTTGGTTCACAATTTCAAGCATGGTACGCTGAACCTCATTGTCTCCACCTACACCATCATCAAATCGTGCACCTCCAATAGCATCTACTTCATCGAAAAAAACAATGCACGCCTTCTTAGAGCGCGCCATCTGCCATACCAAAAAGCTAGTCAGCAATCAAACTACAACAACTTGCTAAAGAAGCTACCAACGCAGTAACTTCTGACCTGGAACAGTTCACGAACCATCCTAGCTCCCTCACCAACATATTTCTGAACAAGCTCACTGCCAATAACACGAATAAAGCATGCATCTGTTCGATTTGCCACTGCTCTAGCAAGCAGTGTTTTCCCAGTACCAGGAGGCCCATAGCAGAGAACACCCTTTGGGGGATCAATTCCAAGTTTCACAAACTTTTCAGGGTGAAGCATGGGCAACTCAACAACCTGTAATTAAAAGAAAAGTTTCATTATGCAGGCAAACATACCAATCAAGTTATATAATACCGTGAATTTTAAACAGAACAAGGTCAGTGTTGGACAGACAATAAATAACATAGTATACAATCATGAATACCTCTCGCATCTTTTCAATTTGTTCCTTGCATCCACCAACATCATTATATGTCACATCAGGCTTTTCCTCAACAGTCATCATGGTAACACTAGGATCAATTTTGGGAGGCAAAGGAATTTGAATCTGATATTTATTCCGATCAACCCTGCAACAATAACAATCTGGTCAGAGAGACTGACAATATTTGGTAAAGCAGAAGCCTTGGCTAGTTTTATTACTGTTATATAC